TATATATATATATAACGGATATCTTCATCGGGACGACCTTTCTGACTAGATCATTTAGTAAGTTTTCACTTTGGTTCTACATGGATCAATCAAGAAATCAATTTTTCTGGTGAAAAACGTTAGCCTAATAACTAAATCTAAAGTAATTTTCATAAGTCTAATGAAAACAAGGCCCAAGATAAACTCATTCATTTGCCTCCAAATAGAGTAAGCAACGCACCGTGAGAAATCTCATCTGTGGTCGTGTCCAAGATAAATAATGTCACAAGCCTTTCCCCTATGCCATCTCTCAAAGATGGGGAAGAAGAAGAAGACCTAATCATACGGCTTTTACCCAAGCCACTGTTTCATTTGCACCAATCTTCTATTTAATACCGAGGGGAAGGATCCCTGAGGCATCCACTCCCCTTGAAGCTCCATTAGCTATATTAAGGGGCGTGCCCCGTCACACTGTTACACTTCGGTAACACAGCAGTGACTCAGTATGAGACACAGCACCCCAAAGATTCAGTTTTCCGGGGAATAACCAAAAATAAATTGCATGCCTTGAGGACTGAGGCTTTCCTCATCGAGCACCTCCTCTTTTTCTTTAGAAATGACCGGCTGATGTACTGTCCATCTTCTTGGGATCTTTCCCGGGAGCCTGGGGCTCAAAGATAAATTTCCAAATGGAAGCTCAGTGTTCTGCTGACGATAAAACGTAGAGCCAGTGGAGAAGAGATAAATCACGTTTCCTACTTGAAACTGTTTTTATATTTTATTTCTTTTTCTGATGCGTGTTAAAGAACAAGTTGTTAATTTAGCAAATCATTAACTTAGAAAATTGTTAGATCTGGAAAGCTGGTTCAAATTTATTCACAGCAACTTATTCATAGCATTTATTCATACCTTGTTTTCAAACAACTTTCAGAATAAACAAAACTCGTGCCATAACAAACACCTACTTATTAATAAAAATCTAACATAATTTTATATTTTATTTATTGTAGTTTGCCTTTTTTTAGCTGATGCAGTAGCTATTACGAAATTATGTTCACTGAGCTTGATTATTAAATCTCGCGCTTAACAGTTTATTTTACAATTACAGTTTACCGTTAAAGTACAATTACAGTTAAGGATACAGTTTAAATTCAATAATTAGATCACGTTTTTCCCACTTGCAACTTTTTTTCTTATTTTTTTTTGTTCGGTAAAGGACAAGTTGTTAATTTAGGAAATCAGTAACTTAGAAAATTGTTAAATCTAGAAATCTAACTCAAATTTATTCGCAGCAACTTATTCATAGCATTTATATATAGCTTGTTTTCAAACAACTTTTAGAATAAATAAAACTCGTGTCATAACAACCACTTACTTATTAATAAAAATGTAACATAATTTTATATTTTATTTATTGTAGTTTGCCTTTTTTTATAACTGATACAGTAGCTATTACGAAAGTATCTGGTTACACTGTTCTTGATTTTTAAATCTCGCTCTTAACGGTTTATTTTAAAGTTACAGTTTACCGTTAGAGTAAAATTACAGTTAAGGATATAGTTTAAATCCAATAACTATATCACGTTTTCCCCACTTGCAACTTTTTTTCTTCTTTTTTTATACGGTAAAGGACAAGTTGTTAATTTCGCAAATCATTAACTTAGAAAATTGTTAAATCTAGAAAACTGACCTAAATTTACTCATAGCAAGTTTCGCACAAAGCTTGAAATAATAATAATTCTTTGTTTCCAAATAGCTTTTAGAATAAATAAAACTGTATAACACGCTCGTCATTATAAAAATATACTTTAAAAATGCTATATAGTTTATATTTTATTTGTTGTAGTTTGTATTTTTAATAACTGATGCAATAGAAATTGCGAAATTACTTTTACTGCACTTAAACATAAATGTATTTCACGAATAGTTATTTTAATTTTTTACAGAACTGTACGTAAATTGGTTAATCTAGAATACTGACACATATTTATTCATAGAAAGTTTCACGCAGATCTTGAAAAAATAAAAAAAAAGCAAATAATTCTTTGTTTTCAAAAAACTTATACAGCGAATAAAAATCTATAACATATTCGTCATTTCAAAAACATACTTATTGGCAAAAATGTAATACAAGTTTAATTTAGTTTATGGTTATTTGCCTTTAACTGATACAGTAACTATTACATCACGATATTCACTGTGCTTGATTACAAATTTATTTGTATTTTTTTCAGGACTGTACAAACCATGAAGTACAATAGAATAATCATAAGTAGATTATTTCAGTATTATTTAGTTAAATTTTTTACACTGTAACGTTCTTTCAAACAATTAAAAAGTATTTAAAAAAAATTCTTTTAACTGACAAACAAAATATTAGTTTGTTTGTAAGTTAATAAA